CATGGTACAAGCAAACATGTTTCCACCAAATGTTGTGGGTTCAACCGTTACTGAGGGCTGCGCTGAGAGAAAGGAGAGGGAAGAAGTGAGTGAGGGAAGATTATGGAGGTGGTTTAGGGTCTGGGATGTGGGCAGCATTTGAAGGAGAGGAATGTAGCAGACAGTGGGCAAACACTGCTGGAAAACACACACACACACAGGTGTGTTAATGCGTCTGCATGTGGTGTGTGTGTGTGTGTGAAGACGACCATTAACCTCTAAATCTCGTATGAAAAAAGGCCCGGCACCACACTATGGCGCTCGTGTGATGGTCGTTGTGAGAGTGCTATCATCCATATCACAGCGTTTTTGACACCTACTCGTTAGCATTACATCATTCCCTATGCACATAATCAAATGTGCACCCCAACATGCACAGACCCTAAACCACACCCAAATCAGGCACACCCCACCGAATACTTCCCGGACTTCTAGACATCTATCTGCTCATGCCTCTCTCCTTTTTAATCATCAGGACGCGAGACTATCTAAGATAACGCTAACCACTGACCTAAGAACAGTAATATTACTCGGTTGGAGACCAACAAAAACAAAGACACTGATGAGTGTGTCAATGTTTTTGGTTTCTAAGTGCATGCGATGAATAGCTCTACCCATCTGAGACAAACAAAAAGTAAAAAAAGGAAGCCACTGACATGAGAAAACTCTGCTGGAAAGAAGGATAAACCTGGAATGATAGTAATCAAGAGCCGAAATCACTTAACATCCACTCACTGACGGGAAACACCAGATCATATAATTATGGAATTTAATTAAAGTGTTAGGTACAAAGTCGTATTACAAGGTGAATATGAAAAAACCTAGGTATTGTCAATCATTCAAGATGCACAACTAGAAAAACAACAGAAATATTTCAGTTCCACAGATATAATGTCGAAAGTGTATGGATCTGCTCGTAGAGAGAAGTACTACGAGTATGTGATTGCGAGGTTTCTATCTCTGACATTGAAAGACAACTAAAATGCACAACGAACCAAGAAATACCATTGGGATCGCACAATAGAAGACCAATATATTCTGCTGAAACCCAATGGCATATAATGCGTAGAAATACCTTTTCGAGATTGTGACTTAGTTGTGTAAATCTGGTACATTACTTTATGAGAACAATATATCCATCCGAGTCTGGATGTGATTATGATAGGGATGAGTGATGTCGAGTAGTGTGATGTCAATTGACAACGCATTACAGAGGAAAACTTGCTATCAGATAATCACTGAGACAGGACCACATGGGAGAAGAGAAAGGAGAACAATTTCCTAATACCACCATCACCCCCACACCACCCCCACATACACTTAAGCGCGAGGCACTGTGGATGAAAGTGCACCATGCACGTTCGAAGCAAAAAAGAACATTCCTGGGCAAGGCGGGAGTTATGCAAAGAGGAAAAATGGAACAAATATTTCCTTAGAGCAGTATTGAAAGACCAAGCAAGTGAATTATTTCCTCAGCCTCTCTAGGTATAAAAATGAACAATGTAACGCGATTTTACATCTTCCTCTGAAGCTTTCCTTTACAGTGAAGTTCAGCCCATATAAATTAGTCTACATAGCAAGTCTTGCGTCGTGCCAATGTAATAGTGTGCGATAGTTCGTGGGTGAGCGACCGGCGAATTAGAGTCATTTTATTTTTAAAACCAACATTTACACACCCATGAAAAAATCCATATATATTCACTTTAAGATATTCTATATCGCTAATATGTCCACAAACGCTTTTTACTGTGTTAGATGCCATGATATCAGTCCTGAGTATATATGAGCGCAGCATTAGAAAAGAGCTGGTGTTTATTTAACACTAGTAGTATATACATGTTTTAATGACTGGAGTGTGACATTGGAATAAGCCTCATAGAGAGCTTTACTCAACAAAACCGTAAGCAATATGGTTGTCTGCAGTTCACACGGTAACCAATGAAATCGGCGTCTTCCCTCCTCCCATACATCCACTTTCTCCATATACACGCTCACGTTTTTCCATGACTAATAGACTTAGCCACTTTCTCGAATGACCTTCGCATTTACTCTTATGTGACTGCTTCTAAAACTCATCATGGAGATAAGCAACACTTTGAAAGAAAAACAAAATTACAAAAACATAACTCAATCAGATTTCCTTACTGAAAACGCATGGAACAAAGATCCATCGGAGCCTAGCGGGACAGAAAAAAAAAGTTACAACAATTCAGAGGGATCTCTCCCAGCACATATTTAATGGGATCCCACCATTAAATATATTATCATATCCTGCGCATAAACTTTCTTGTTCTACATTATTATATCCCAAAGTACTGGAACTTAATCATTGATGTCGCACTCCAGAAAATTCTAAACAAACCCTTTGAAACATGATGTTCGCACTTCCAAGCTGGATATCTGC